GTTCATCTCCTTGAAACCCCCTGAGTGTTGAGATATATGCCCAACTGGAAAAAGAAGCATCCATAAAAAGGTGACATTCCAAATGAGGAGAGAGAAGAGGAACCCCACAGTATTGTTGTCTCAATACAACTACCATGCAGAGTTGGTCTGGAAGGAAGGGAGAAGGGTGAGGTGAACATGAGCAAGGCTGAAGATGACGAATGTGGGCACAACCAAGAGTAAAGAGGGCTTCCAGAGGAACCCACATCCCCAAAACAAAGAGAACCTCTCATGCAATTAGAGATGAGGGAGAAAGTTGGGCCCAATTGCTCATGAAGTTCAAAACACCATGAGATGAACTAAAAGGTTTTCGTGGGTGTAAGAAAAGACTTCACAACCTTGACAAGACAACCCCTCCCCTGGCATCATCCTGGAGAAAAAACTGAGTAAATTGTGCAGATTCTTATTGTGAGGAGGCCAGAGGTAGCCAATGATCCTATGAGGATGGAAAAGAAAACATCTGGCATGAATCAGGTGAGCAAATACCCAGACTACCCAACAGAACCCATTGGGTACACCAATGAAATTAGTCCTGAACCACCCCTGAAAGATGCTGTCATGAAACATGATCCTGTGAATGGAATTGGATGACCATATCCTCCGAGATGAGTCTCAGAACCCAAGTATCCACACCAAATTACCTCCAAATGTGGACAAAGTGAAGGAGTCTGGCCCCCATGGGCTATAGTCACCGATGCTGGATGGCTCAAAATTGATGGCTAACAGGGTACTAACAGTGAGTTCATGAAGCCCAAGAAGCTGAAACTCACAAAGGAAAAAGTAACCAAAAAAATTGGGATCCAATCCCCACAAAGGGATAAGCGACTCCAAATGCTGTGAGGCTAAATAACAGAGGTCAGGACGATGAAAAGCAAAATCATCCTTAGTACATAGGGGTTGAGGCATATTACTTCCTGAATGCATGGCTCCCCCAAAATGGTTCGTATGAACCGCAATTTCTGGGGAAGGAGGAAACACTAAATATTGACTCAAAAGCTTGTCTCCAAGAAGAGCAGAGGTAGAACCATAGGAAACAGGAGAGAAAGACAGAACATACCTGATTAATCTGATTTAATCAAGTCTACTAAAGGAGAAAGAGGCTTGGGCAATTCTCCTAAAATGACACATGACTGAGAGGGACATTCAGGAGGGGGAAAAGGCTGTCCAAATCTGCATCTTCCCAATCAATCAGACCTTGAGCAGGTATAATAGGAATATCGTTAGTTTGTTTGAAATGTTGCATGAAATAGATCAATTCCTGACATAACATAGCTGTCACTTTATGTGCTGAGAACCTGGCTTTGGACTCCGTATGTGAGGTTGGGAAATCCATAGCAGAGCAACAGAATTTGAAGTCATGACCATCTGAAACTACAAGTTTAAAACTTTTGGAAGTGAAGTAAAAAAGAAGGGAAAATATAATTCATAACTATCCACCAGAATGTTGTGATTTAGAAATGATGATATTGTATTGCAGAAATAACTTAGCTAATAACTGAAACCACTATAACAGTACGTTGGAAAGAGTGAAGAAATATTTTATAGAGGAGTACCTAGCTGTTTAAGTCGCTTATGCCAGAAACCCAGACAAAATGATGGCAGATGATGTTTAACTATCCAAAATGTAAGGTGATGCCTGTAGGTTTTCACAATTGAAATTATTGTTACAACTTAAATGGGAATACATTAAATACTGTAGTTGAAGAAAAATATATTGGTGTTGTGATTGAAAAATCACTTAAGTCATTTAAACAGTGTATTGTAGTTAGCAATAGGGCTAATAGGATTTTGGATACCATCTATAGAAATACTGAATACAAGACAAGGGATATTATTGTTTCACTTGTAAGGCCTCATTTAGAGTATCATGTACAGTTTTGGGCTCCCTTCATAAAGAAGGACATTGAATTGTTGGAGAAGGTTCAGAGAAAAGCCACTAGGATAATACCTGGGATAGTGGTATTGTCCTATAAGAGACTAAAATTTCTGAACTTGTTTTCACTGAAGATGAAAGGGTCAGAGGGGATTTGATTGAAGTGTTTAAGTTTATTAAGGGTATTAATAACATAGATCCATCAAACATTTTTGTATTTAGCAGTGAAAACAATAGGACAAGGGAGCAGAAATTAAAATTTTGGCAGCATAGGAGTCATCTGCAGTTTAGACAGTGATATTTTTCAAATAGGATGGTTGGCTTTTGGAATGAGCTGCCTTCAAGGGTGGTGGAGGCACAAAATTTAACTGAGTTAAAGAAAAGATTGATGAATACATGAGTAGTAAGGGGTGGTTGTAGTTAGGAGCTGGAAGGGACATCCTTGATGGGCTAATAAGGTCCTTTTTGTCCCTTTAAAATTTTATTAATTTATGAAAGAGAGGCTTAAAGATTTGGACTTCTTTTCTTCATAATATTGAAGAATTTGAAAAGACTTGAACAGTCTTTCTATGGGTGGCTGATGAAATGAAAAAGGCTGGAAATATGAATATGAATGTTAGAGGTATATAAAGTAGTGGTGAAAAACTCGCCAAATTAAGATAATTTTATTAATAAAACACAAAAACATGCCCTTCATCATGTTACCAGAGACAATGAAACTGTTAATAGAAGCATTAGGTTGAAAGAACAAGTAACATGTGGCTTGAAGGCTCAAGAACATGTTCCTAAGCTACGAATAAGCTAAGGGACGTAACATATATACAAAAAAAAAGTATAAAAATTGTATTGAAAAAAATAGAAAAACGTAGAACAACAATACAGGCAACAATGTAAGGAAATGAATGAATACATGTGAGAAGTGTTCCTAATGTCAACTTTTTTCTTATGCTGTAAAGATCCCAAGCAATTTGATGATGGAAACCATTCATTATAACCATGTCAAACTCTTAAGATGATGTTTATAAATAGTCTTAATTTATAAGTTCTAATGCCTTAACAATTAAAATACATATGTGTGAAGCCTCCCAGATAATACATGAAACATCAAGTAAATAAAACAATCCCCTATTTAGAAAAAAATTACTAAAAACAGGTAACTTGAAACATTTACTAAACATTTAGTATTCTCTGGTGAAACTGATTTCAACAAAGTGCTATGTAAGTCTGCTTTATAACGGAAGGATTGATCAGGATAATCACAGAGTAAATTTGAATTATGCTAAAAAATGAACTTAGCTATGAGAATAAACAAACTGGACATGTAATTTAAATTAAAATCAACCTTTATTAATACCTAACAGCTTACTTTCTTGGACTGTTATCTTCTACCAGATCAGTGAATCAGACAGCAGTTGATTGAATAATTTAAAAACCAAAGTAAACTGTGTCAACCCAATTTCAGATTTACCCATACCAACTAGCATTATCTGCATGACTACTCATTCTCATACAACATAGTTAATGCTAATACATAACCTCTAGATATCATTTACTCTGTAAGTGAAGGACATTGCTGTTGTTAACCTACTTTCACAATGCCTGAAGTTGTAGCAATATCCCCACAGATGGAGCATGTTTTACTACTAGAGAACAACAAAGAAACACAGCTAACTGGAACAAAGATAGCTCAATGGTTTTTTTGTGAAAACTACTTAGAATCAGATAAAATGAAAACTTTTGAAAATTCCTATATTAAAATAAGTAGGTAGAAAATGCATGGTATGCCTGCATGCCACAGCAATAATGATTAATATCCACAGACTGTTTGACTGGGTGATTTCTACAATCAATTATAGATCACTGATTATAATAATCAATGTTTTGTTGAGAGGTTTCATGTGCATTACATATTAACATATTTATAATTGATACTCATTGCTGTTACTGTGATATGCAAATAATATAGCTCCTTATGACTTACCCTTGAAATGACAATTTGCACAGCTTAATTGTTATATAAAATACACCAAGTTGGGGGGGGGGGCAAAAACATTCACAATTGTCACGTGTTTTTAATTGAACAGGAGTGGGGATAAGATGATACTGAAACTGTAATAATGTGGCTATTCAGCTATTCATTAACCCAGTCTATCACCAAAACCACTCCTACAAACATTTTACTGTATGTTGAAGTCAGTTATTACAAAAAACAAAACAAATAAGTGTTCTCTGAATAAAATAAGCCCAAAAAACTGCAATCCACAGCTCTCACAAAATTAAAGTGACTTGTGAAAGAAAACAAGCCCAAATCCACTTATTATAAACAGCCTTGGTAAAACTGAGTCTGATGTATTCAGGTAATGTTTCAAAATTTAATTTATATTACCTGTGCTTAGTCATACATTCTAGACAAATAGGGTGTTTTATGCTTTTAACTATACTAAACCCTACCTTTAGTTGGTAATTTATGTTTGAACTAGTAGAGTAGGTGGATACATCCTTGTATGGGGCAAGTACACAGGATAATTTCTTAATTACTATTTAGTAAAATATGGCATGCTAGGGATAAGAAGAGCCAGAAATGATAGGTACCCTAGTTGCTCCTTTTTTGATAATAAGACTAACATCCGGTTATGGATGACATAGCACTGTGGAAAATCCATGTACAGCTTGAACTACAGTATAGTTCTAAGTGAGATTAGCCTTAGTGTTTGTTTCACTATGTTGTATAAGAATAAAAAATCACAGTAAACCCAACATTTCATGTTATGTTAGTATGGACTGTAGGACTCACATCAGCTGTACCAGTTTCCTAAAATAAGTCAGTTGATTGGAAAATATCTTGAGAGACTGATTGATTCCCTGTCCAGCCTCTTTTTTTTTTCTGGTCTTAATGCATAAAAAAGATTGTGTTTCACTTTACATTAAATGTCCAATCTGTTTATTTTCTAAGTTTAAAACTCAGTTGCTCACTAAACTCAAATTTACTTCACAACTTTCTTGACCAATTCTCCCATTATAAAGCAGTGTCACCTGAGAATACCACACTATTAAGTTGCAATCTACTTTTTACCTACATTTTACCTACCCAGATCTTGATAGCTTCTTTCACAGGTATTCCTTTTGCCTGTAAGAAAGAGTACATCTCAGACTTACAATAATACAGTCTATCACAGTGACATAAGAAAGTAGGTAGTGACATCAACTACTTAGCACATTGAAATAACCCCCTATTCAGCAAAACATCAACATTAAATTAAATCTAACAAATGGGAATAGAACTAGCTGTCAGCACTAGCTCTGACTACCTCACCATACTTTATGTAGAAAATCCCAACAGAATTGAAATAACATTTTCTACTTTCTAACACTAAAACCAAAGAGAATGTGCTACAAGAATCTTTTTCATATTGCTAAAGAGTTGCTATGGTTGGGAGAATGTAAGATTGCTCAACCATTCATTATTGCACAAGTAGCAGTTGAGCACAAGTAGGATGGTTAGGGCTATAAACCAGGCCATTTCATTTTGGAGAAATATGCAAGATGCTCACCACAAATATCGAATACAGAGAATAGCATCTTAGACCTGCAGCCCAAGGTGAACCCATGACCCGTCTGGCTGGAACGAAACCACTAGGAATGACTTGATTAATAATGTAATGGGGTGTCCTGTACTACATTAGCAGGTAACACTTTAGCTTTGCTTTACAACTAAGGCTGCATCAACCTAGTCCATTACCAGTGTGATTGCACTGCCCAATGAGGAGTTATCCATACCAACTTCCCCAATGGCTTGGAACTGGAGAAGCAAGGGTTCTTTCTTCTATGCTCCACTAGAAGAAATTGAGGTGTGAGGGGAGGGCACCAGAGATTTGCAATGGGCTACCATAATTAAAGACAGCAGGCAAAAGCCAGGTTAGAAGGCAGGCACATACCTGGTGCTGTATTTTTTGTCAAATGCAGAACAGCTTGAAAGATATAATACATATAGGCACTGTCAAAGCATTCTTGCAGAAAACCCCATCTCAACAGTGGGCACTGTGCAGGATTAAATGGGCTTAACACTTTTTGTACTCTACCATTTAATGTGGATTTTGGGTAAGTAATCCTAGTGAGGCAACACCAGCTTCTCAGTGGATTCCATTGTCTTCATAATATAGAAATATATGTATATTGAATAAGGTGGTTGTGAGACCTGAAAAATAAAAATAATCAACTCTACATGGTCTTTCCACTGATTTCTCCAAGTCTATAGCTGTGGTTTTAGTAGATAGTAAGTAGGGACAGTGGGAATCTTGTTAATCTACTTGCTCTACATCACCTTTAATTTTGAGAAGCATGCATATACACACCTGTTGTATTAAAAATATACAGACATATGCCTTCAGGAACTCTTTTAACTGTATAAACTAAACCTTAATAAATAGTCATGCATCTTGTCACATTTTAGACTCGTACATTGGTCTTAAAACGTTTTTATTTTATGAAAAATAGATGTTTCTTGTGTCTAAACTGTTCCAGTTATCAAAATCTGTTTAAGAAACTTGAAAAATATAAAATTATGTTTTTTGTAATTTTTGCAAAATATCAGAATTGTAGGTGTTCTATACACTGCCATCTTCCCTCCTCCACCTAGGTGTATATTCATCTTTTTGAGGAGGATGTGGACAGAATACACCCCTGAGTACAGTTATTGCATGCCTGCAGTAGGAAAATAGTGAAATAAGCATTCTCTTTTTAAATGTGAAGAAACATTATTTTATACTTTTATCATATCTGCCTTCACCATGAGGGTCCACATTTCCACATACTGTATCATCAGTATATGATATTAATAGTGATACATTCAACAATAAATGTCAAGCACATTAATGTTAGAACTTGGGGTAGGTATGCCACAGATTAACGTAACACTAACACAGGTCTTGTTAATTTATCTAGTTAATGTAATTAGGCTCATAACAATAATATATTAGTTTATAATACTAAATTCTTGTTATGCATTAGTCATAGTAAAGGCCGCCCGC